TCAAAATATTAAATGCAACAGATGAAAAAAGTGAAAGACGGATTAAAGCTAGTGTTGTTCAATCAAACAGTTCCCATTCTTTCAGAGTCATCGATTCAGGTTTTTTGGTGATTCCTTCCTGTGAAAAATACAGTCTCTTTTGATACAATAAATTTTCAAGTTGAATTTTTCATAACACAAAGTTCGTACTAATGAACATCTTCACCTTGTATCTTGCTTCGTTGGTCATTACTCCCACTCAATTCAAATAGATTCAGAAAAAAAAACCCTGCACTAATACTGCTTATTAGGAGGTATGAACTTCCAAGAACATGTAGAAAAAACACATATTCGAAAGATCAGGAACAAACAAATTGAGCAGAAGCACACAAATAAGAAATAAAAAAACATTTAACTCGGAGAAAACTTGAAAATAGAAAAAAACTATGGAGCCACGACATACAGAGAACTTCACTATGAAATGTTAGGAATCATACTGATTTTACCACACTCAAATCCTCTCTATAATCTTGAAACTCACAAATGCAACTCCTCTCTCAATCACACGAGAGAAATTTAGAAATTCACCTATAAAATGCATACACCGCTTCATGCTACTTCGCTCGCCCCTCCCGCGGTGAAGAAACCCGAGACTTAAAGCTCAAACTGCAGAAATCGGTTACAGGCATCAGGACACTACTTCTGAGTGTTGGGTTTTCTGATGGTTGGGTGCAAGGTGTGAACTGGGCGCTGCCTTTCCAAGCGCTCGAATTCTGGAGTCATTCTTTTGGGCGTTGGATCGCTCGTCCCGAGCGTCAAGTTTCCAAATGCCTTGTTTTCGAAAAGTTGAAAACTTGCTTTTGGGCGCTATCTTTCCACATGCTCGAGTCCTAGAGCATTTGGTGGGGCACTTAGTACCAGACGCTGGTGTCCTCCCCCCCCCTCCCCCCCTCCCGCGTGCAAGGTGTCAACTGGGCGCTGCCTTTCCTTGCTCTCGAATTTTGGAGTCATTCTTCTGGGCGTTGGATCGCTCGTCCCGAGCGTCAAGTTTCCAAATGTCTTATTTCCGAAAAGTTGAAAACTTGCTTTTGGGCGCTATCTTTCCACATGCTCGATTCCTAGAGTATTTGGTGGGGCACTTAGTACCAGACGCCATGAAACCCCCGGGACCGACCATTTGATTAATTTTAACGCTATGACAAATTTGCTAGTGCAGTCGAGATATATCGTAATTTTTTCATTCAAAATATTGAATTCAACAGATGGAAAAAAGTGAAAGATAGACTAAAGCTAGTGTTGTTCAGTCAAACAGTTCCCATTCTTTCAGATGCCTCGATTCAAGTTTTTGGGTGATTCCTTCCTGTGAAAAATACAGTTTTTTTTTTATACAATAAATTTTCAAGTCGAATTTTTCATAACACAAAGTTCGAACCATTGAATATCTTCACCTTGTATCTTGCTTCGTTGGTCATTACTCCCGCTCAATTCAAATATCTTTAGAAAAAAAACCCTGCTCTAATACCGCTTATTAGGAGGATTTGAACTTCCAAGAACTTGCAGAAAAACACATATTTGAAAGATCAGGAACAAATAAACTGAGCAGAAGCACACAAATAAGAAATAAATAAATTTTAACGTAGAGAAAACTCGAAAATAGAAAAAAACTATGGAGCCACGACATACAAAGAACTTCACTATTAAATGTGAAGAAATGTACTGATTTCACCACACTCAAATCCTCTCTACAATCTTGGAACTCACAAATGCACCTCCTCTCTCAATCACACGAGAGAAATTTTAGAAATTCACCACCCATAACACGCATACACCGCTTCATGCTACTTCGCTCGCCCCTCCCGCGGTGAAGAAACCCGAGACTTAAAGCCTCGAACTGCAGAAATCAGTTACAAGCATCTGGACGCTACTTTTGAGTGTTGGGTTTTCTGATGATTGGGTGCAAGGTGCGAACTGGGCGTTGTCTTTCCATGTGCTCGAGTCCTGGAGTCGTTCTTTTGGGTGTTGGACTGCCCGCCCCGAGCGTCGAGTTCCCAAACACCTTGTTTTTGAAAAGTTGTAAACTTGCTCCTGGGCCACACGCTTGAGTCCTGGAGCATTTGGTGTGGCACTTAGTACTAGGCGCTGGTGTCCAAATGCTTCACTATGAAATGTGAAGAAATGTACTGATTTTACCACAGTCAAATCCTCTCTACAATCTTGGAACTCACAAATGCACCTCCTCTCTCAATCACACGAGAGAAATTTTAGAAATTCACCCATAACACGCAAACACTACCGCTTCATTTTACTTTGCTCGCCCCTCCAGTGGTGAAGAAACCCGAAACTTAAAGCCTCGAACTGCAAAAATCGGTTACAGGCATCTGGACGCTACTTCTGAGTGTTGGGTTTTCTGATGATTGGGTGCAAGGTGTGAACTGGGCGCTGCCTTTCCATGCGCTCGAGTCCTAGAGTCGTTCTTCTGGGTGTTGGATCGCTCGCCCCGAGCGTCGAGTTTTCGAACACTTTATTTGTGAAAAGTTGAAAGCTTGCTTCTGGATGCTATCTTTCCACATGCTCGAGTCCTGGAGCATTTGGTGGGGCACTCAGTACCAGGGGCA